TTGATGAAATCAACAACTCAGAGGGTTTGAATAGCTCAGCTGACTTGATGGATGAAATTAGGGAGATAGCTCATGTTAGAGAATTCGCGGCAAAGAAACGAATTTACATAGAGTTTCAATATCAAAGTGATACATAGAGGTTTTTCACAAAGGATACTTGGTAGTGGAGAAGATAAATGATTCCTCAAAAGGGGAAAGTTGGGCCCGAACTGGGAGGGTCCCTATCACGTTCGTCAGAGGATAGGAAAGGGGGCTTACAAATTGGAAACCTTGGATGGGGAATTAATACATAGGACTTGGAATATAACTAGTCTTAAGTTTTACCTCAGTTAGATCATGTAACGAATGTAATAAATAAAATTGTAAGAGTGTGTTCCTTTTCCTTGCAAGGATAAGGGATTTATTGAGACACTCATATTTAAACATTTATATCATGCAAAATGTATAAGTCAGTCCTAGGATGTAACTCTGCCAAGATGATTTACCTCTGGCATAATCGGCTTCATCTGGGCTATACGAACTCGATGCCTCTGTCCAAAGTCCAAGTTAATTTACCTCTAGAATAACCGGATTTTTCCGGGATATGCGAACTTTATGCCTCTTCCTAAAGTCCAAGTTAATTTACCTCTGCCATAATCGTCTTCGTCTGGGATATGCACACTTGATGCCTTTGGCAAAAGTTCAAGTTAATTTACCTCTAGCATAATTAGATACGTCTGGGCTATGCTCATTTGACGCCTCTGACCAAAGTCAAGGTTTATTTACCTCTAGCATAATCGGATTCTTCCGAGCTATGTGCATTTGATACCTCTAGCCAAAGTCCAAGTTAATTCACCTCTGGCATAATTGGCTTCGTCCGAGAAATGTGCACTTGATGCCTCAAGCCAAAGTCCAAGTTAATTTAACTTTGGCATAATCGGCTTCGTCCAAGCTATGCGCATTTGATACGTCTGGCCAAAGTCAAGGTTTATTTACCTCTAGCATAATTGGCTTCGTCTGGACTATACGCACTCGATGCCTTTGGCCAAAATCCAAGTTACTCATCTCTAGTATAATCGACTTTGTCCGGGCTATGTGCACTTAATGCCTATGGTCAAAGTCCAAGTTAATTTAGCTCTAACATAATAGGCTTTGTCTGAGCTATGCACACTTGATGCCTCCGACTAAAGTCCAAGTTAATTTACCTTTGGTATAATCGGCTTTGTCCGAGCTATGCACACTTGATTCCTTTGGCCAAAATCCAAATTAATTTTCTTCTAGTAGAATCAGTCTTGTTCGAGTTACCCTGGTAAGCCTCAAATTAAAACTTAGGCACTCAAAGATACCATACTCCCAATTTAATTGGAAGCTAAAACATGGGCTCTCGGGTCAAATTGTTAATAACATATTTTGGTAAAAATCAGTAACCTATAAAATAAAATAACATCAGCATAACTATAAAAAGTTTTCCCTGAGGGCATAAATATTCGATCAAAAGATATAAGTTCGAAAATGACTACATAGGCATATCATTCGTTGAAAGCCCATCCTTAACATAAGCAGAACACAAAAACGAAATCAAGTTTTTGATGGTTTCCTTCTGACAATTATTTGGTTAACTCCTTGACCTTATTAGCCCGAACCTTCAAATCAATGTTTAGCTAAGCCATTTCTCCAAAAAGGTGAGTCTCATTTTTCTTGTATGCTTCACTCACTTAAATCAAACCTCAGGTCATCACCGCACATCTCTTTAAATAAGCACCTAGATTCTGAGTTAGTTGTTGGCCACCAATAGACTTCACCTTCTCCATATCTTCATTAGCATTCAGGTTATCATAAATATACCTCATCCCGTCGAAGTTGTTGGGCCAAAACTTGAACTCATAAGAAGAATGAGGTTGATGGTTGTTGTCGATATATGAACCTTGCATAAGGGTAGTGATGGCGAGATCAGCTTGACTGACATCATCACTCATAAGAGTATTCATCTTTTTGGGAGAAGCAGGATTGGGACTTTTTAGAGTATGCGTAGCAGAAGCTTGGTGTCCACGCCTCGACCATCAACCTTTTTTGCTCAGAAAGTTTGAGGTTTGTCATTTTAGCTAGAACACAAGAAACCAGACTAGTAAGGAAATGATCAAAGTTATATAAAAGCAAGACAATAGACAAACAAATATATTACCCAGGAAATTAAAAGTCTGTTTTGGATCATCAGACATCTGTAAGAGGTCTTTCACTTTCACTTCGGAAAGCATCCAACACGGCCAGAGATCGAAGTTCCAGGTCATTAAGTCTATCATAGTCAAAACCCGAGATGGGTAAAGGGTGATCCGTTCATAAATCGGAAAATGATGGTTTCCCTCTGCGTCATACATAACTCGGGGGGAGTTGTTTCCCTTTTTAACACGAAAACATTTATCTTTAAAACCCTTATAATTAGTAGTTTATTCCTGTAGGAAACTCGTCCCCAGAATACCACTAAGGGAGACCCAACCCCCTTTTTTTGCACCCATTAGCTCGAAAAAGGAAAAGAATAAGCCTAAATTCAGTATTATACTCACAGTGTCACAAATGATCTCAAATCCTCTGATGAAGCCCCAACCATTAGGGCATAATTAGAAGGGAGCTATGTTTAAGGTTTTGAGAAGGTCACCCTTGAAATCGGTAAAAGGATTTCTTATTTTAAAGTCTTCAATGACTCCTGAGTAAAAATAAAAGTATTCTTCTTGAGAACGAGCACTACAAACCATCTCTCCTGCTACACAAGGATCAATCACAACATCTTCTCCATTCTCAGTTGAAGAAATTATAGTATCTAAACGAAGTTTCGACATGTAGCTTTCGTCGATAATGATATGATCGTAATTCAAAACTTCTTTATATATCAAGGAACTTGTTGCATCCATCTAGGTATTTGAAGAACCTGAGAAGGGAGATCCCATATCAGCGTTACTATCATGCGAAAGGGTTTCACCATAAACTTCGCTGAGAATTCGATCAAAGTCCTCTCTATCTAAAAAACCCTCAAATTCACGCACATAGTTATTCCAAATCTTATTCCTATCACTAGCATTAAAAGAAGTTGGGTAAAAGGGCGTAACAATAATAAAATAGAAAGAATGTTACCTTGAATATGGGAAGAGAGATGAGAAAGAAATGAGGTGCTGAAGAAGAAGATTATTCGGAAGAAATGTCTCAAAACATAAAACTTGATCTTTGTAAGCCAAAAAGTAACGGTCAGAAGAATTGGAAGAGCGAAGCAACGGTGAAGGTGAGAGTTCCAATAAAGCCATCATGAAGAGGAAAGAGATAAAATGTTGTCATCAGTAAAAGCTGACATAAGCAAGATCTTGAAAAAATGTTCCGGGATTTTTTGTCCGAGCACTACACTTCATACGAACCTAGTGCCTTGGGGGCTTATGTACATCACGTAAATCATGTTGACTGGCCGAGATATGAACCCGGTAAATTCCCTGCCTATCTCCAAGTCGGATTCTGGCAAAAGATAACCAGATGAAACAAAGACAAACCGATCGTGCACAAACCGAGCTAGACCTCAGACATGTAGGGTAGAGGTGGCAATAGGATCCATTAAGACAAAATTCATCCATCAAAAAATCCATTCAATCCATCCACCACATAAAAAATAAGTTAATGGATTGGATTAAATCCATCCATTTATATGCATTGATGGATTCAATCCATCCAACATATTTTAAGAATCCAATGGATTATTTTTATTTTTGTTATATTATTTTTTTAAAAATAATTAAAAATAGATTTTTTAAAATCTAATTAAAAATAAATTTTTTTAAAAAAAATTGTTCTTTTTTCAATAAAAAAAATTGTAATTTTTTCAAAAAAAAAAAGATCGATTTTTTTTTTTTTTAAAAAAAACTGTTTCTTTTTCTGAAAAAAAATCGGTTTTTTTTTGTGTGAAAATTCGATTTTTTTTCCAAAATAAAAAACTGATTTGTTTTTCGAAAAAAAAATCGATTTTTTTAAAAAATGGTTTTTTAAATAAAAAAAACAATTTTTTTTCGAAACAAAAAGCCATTTTTTTTTAATAAAAAAAAATTCCCGAAAAAAATACCGACTTTTTTAAAATACAAAAAATACAAAAAAACCGACTTCATAATTTTTTTTTAAATACAAAAAATGATTTTTCAAACATAAAATAAAATCGAATTTTAAAAATAAAAAAATTTATTTATTTTTACAAAATAAAAAAATTTATTTATTCTTACAAAATAAAACAAAAAGTTGGATGGATGGATATCCATCCATTAAAAATATGTTAATGGATGGATTGGATGAATTTTATTCTTAATGGATGGATCGGATTGGATCATTTTAAGAAAATTTTAGTGGATTGTTAATGGACTAATGGATTGTTTTAATACATCCATTAACAATCCAATCCAAATTCATCCAATCCATCCATTTTGACACCCGTAATGTAGGGTGACGAATTAATAGGGACCGAACGACCCTCCAAAAGAGACCTGGGCCGGTTACGAAAGAACCATTATGATGGGAGATTTACAAGCATTGAAAAGGAAGTTGCAATAACAATATTTGCCCTAACTTGATTTTAAATGTTAAAAAAATTCTGCACACCTTAAAATCGTGTGGTTTTAACTAGGAAGTCGCAATACCAATATTTACCTTGACTAAGTAGACCTCGTAGTCTAGGAAGAACAAGGTGGACGCAATATTTGACAAATGAATCAAATCTCATATTGAAATTTTGACAACAATAATGAAAGCATTATTATTATTGCGATTGAAATTGAAATAACGCGGTTTAAGAATATTTTTCCGAGGAATTAAACATATTCAAGGTATGTAATGAATGACTATGCGATGTCAAAAGGTGACGTGTTTGTGTTGCCCTCGTATTCTATCAATCTCTAACTATATCATGTCATAATAATTATTAACCATATATCAATACATAAACAACTCACTTAAATTTCTCATCATAATCTTAACTAAGAAAATTTTAGGGTTGTTTTTCAATGGATCATTATCAAAAAGCCGGTCAATCTTGTTCTTCAACAAAAGTCGAAAGAAAAATTGTTGAGAAAAATAGGAGAAATAAGATGAAGACTCTTTGTTCCAAACTCAACTCTCTTTGCCCTAACTATAATCCCAAGGTGCATTATCTCTTCTATTTTCATGTCTTGCATACAAAATTGTCTTCAAACTTTTGAGATGTCATGTGTAATAAATTTTACATGAATCTTATTTAATCAGAGATCAATTATAACAAATATTTTTATGTTAATTTTTTCATAATTAATTTTATAACACTTTCTTTTCGACCGTCACTCTAATAGTAATATTTATTCTAATATATTTGTTTGATAATACTATATAATTTGGTGTTATTTTTCAATTTAATGCAGGAAGCTTTACCATTACTTGAACAAGTAGACAATGCTATAAACTACATAAAGAGCTTAGAGGCAAATTTGAAATCGGCCAAGGAGAAGAAAGAAAGTTTAATGAGAAACAAGAGATCACATAGTGGCTGTTCGAGTTCTTGTGGTGTAAAAGGAAGCATAAAATCACCAAAAATAGAGATTCATGAAAATGGTTCTTCTCTACAAGTTATTGTAACATGTGGGGTTGATGATAAATTCATTTTCTATGAAATTATAAGAATTTTGCATGAAGATCACGTGGAGGTTATCTCTGCAAATTCTTCAATAGCTGGAGATTTAGTTATTCATGTTGTGCATGCAGAGGTATATACATACATGGATCTATATTTTTATCTTATTAATGTTTAACATTAAGAAACTTATGATTGATTTGATCTCTATGATAACTACTTTTGTGTAGAATTCGCAATTGTTGTTTCAATTTGGAGCGACCAAAGTAGGCGAGAGGCTGAAAAGGTTTTTGAATGGATCTGAGGGAGAAGTGCAAATAGAGCCTCAATTATGGGATTCTGAAGTTGGAACAGAGACTTGGGATCTAAATTCTATAGTAAACAAGTTTTTACCAAATACTTTATGAAGAAGAGATACAACAAACAAAAGCAGTGCAGTGTGTAACTAATATAAGTGTAGTATATGCAAGCCTTTAAATATACTTTAAATATATTATAAGAAGAAAACTCAATCAAAGTTGTTTTATGAATCAAGAACAACATGTATCATGGATTTTGAAATTTTGTAGAACTATATATATTTGCCCTAATTATCTTGTTAACTGTTTAGTGCAACACCTAAGTCATCTCTGCACCTTAAAGTATGCTTTGATTAGGATTTAGGGTTTTGTTATAAATTTAAGAAAATATGTTTTTTACGACTGCAAACACATGTATGTTTTCACAACATTGTATCTCAAAAGACTGAAGCCTTAGTGCATTTTGAGTTGAGTGGAGCCTAGAATGTCTGCATTTCTAAATCAACGTTCTTCGTCGTCGTCGTCATCAGCATCGGAGGAATCCTTTCCAACGTTCGATCTAATGCAAAGAAATGCCCTAGTTGTGTTTTCAGCAACAAAGCCTCCGATGAAGGTGCTCCTTTGGAATACGCAGACGTTGGAGCACTTGCACAGGGAACTGAACCGCTGGCTAGAAGAAGATATTGCTCCAGGAGAAAAGATTAGGAAAATTGAGAGGTTGGTTGAGGAGACCAGGAGAAATGGAGTTACTCGTGAATGGAGAAAAGTGGAAAATGATGTCGGTGTCCTTGTGATGATGTTGACACCGAAGAAGATAAAGTTGATGGTCGTGATATCGTAGACGCCTTGGTGCAGTGTTCTGTTTTATGTCTTTACGTTGTTGTAATGTTTGTTTAATTTATGTTGTCTTGGTGCAGTGTTCTGTCTTTATGTTATTGTTATGTCAGTTAACTATGCTTTTAAATGAATGAAATTTGTTATTAATCATGAAATTTGCTATTAATCGAATGAAATTTGCTATTGATTTAAAGGGACAAGATTACATATGAAATATGATCTGCTATTTGATCCTACGTTAGGACATTTTGTACGATTGTGTCCTGATTGCCGACACGAACTACACAATCTTACCAGCTTGTCTGCGGTATCCATCTCCGTTCGAATGCGCGTGTTGTTAGGCCGGCCCTTTTTCTTTCTGCGCATCAAGTCATTATGCCAAACAATTTCGCCTTCGTATTGAGGTCAATATTCCTCATTTGCGACCACCTGAAAGCTGCATGTGTAGACATTGCATAGAATTATCACTTGGTGAACTGTAGAAAGAAGGTTGATTGGGTTCTGGCGCGCCTTCGGACACGCTACTATAACATGAGAGAAGAGCATACGGAATGCTTGAAACTTCCCACAATCACACCAGCTCTTATCCAATTCAACGCGGTAACATCCCCTAGACCTTCCTTCGTTGTGATCAATAGACTCGGCAACATTGAACCAACCAGTTGTACGGTCAAAGATTGTGACCACGTGTGTGTTGGCTTTGCCTGCTTCCTCTTTCATGAATTTCATTGAAGTATCACTATACAGCTGACCCGATTGTAATACCGAACCCCACTTCGTACGTTTGCTATCAAAGAGTGCTCCTAGCCTAAAATAGGTTACCCTTACCAAGGCAGTTATTGGGAGGTTTCGGATTCCCTTGAAAACAGAATTCATTGACTCGACGAGGTTAGTTGTCATGTGGCCCCATCGCACCCCATTGTCATATGCCCACGTCCATTTCTCCCTATCAATGCCATTAATCCATCTTAATTCATCCGCATTTGTCAGTCTGATTTCGTCACAGTAGTATTTGAAAGTGGGTTCAGTTAGTGCATATCCTGCATTCACAACCTTCTTCTGTAGCGTCTTGTCTTTGATTTCCCACATGAAATTTTGGGCAATATGCCTTATGCAATAGACGTGGGTCGAGGGAGGATCCTACCAACCTTTGTCAAGGTTGTTGTATGCACTCTCGATTGATAGGTGTCGATCGAAGATCAAACATAAGTTAGGTTGGGGAGACACGTAACAACGGAGGTTTTTTAAGAAAAAACTCCAACCCCCAGCAGTCTCCCCTTCTACTATAGCGAATGCTATTGGAAAAATGTTATTGTTCTCGTCTTGTGCCACAGCCATGAGAAGTGTGCCCTTATATTTCCTGTATAACCATGTTCTGTCAATTTGAATTATAGGTTTACAAAATGCAAACCCCTTGATGCATGGTTCAAACGCCCAAAAGACTCTGTGAAAAATTCCAGTTCCACCAACGCAAGTCCCGTCTGGTGTATAAGCAGGCATCGTCTCCAATATCGCAACAGTTCCTGGAGAGTAGTGTTTAAGAGCCACCAGGAATTTTGGAAGTTCCTTGTACGACTCCTCCCAATTCCCAAACACCCTTTCAACCGCTTTAGTCCTGGCAATCCAAGCTTTTCGGTATGAAGGAGTGTAATTATACCTTTGAACCATATGTGCAATTATGGTACTCACCTTCAAAGACGGGTTGTCGCTAACGACTGACAGAATCTCATCGCAAATTAATCGAGAGCTGAGTTTGCGATGGTCTTGCATCGGATTCGAGATTATACAAGTGTGGGCCGGACCCATTGATCCTATCTTCCAGGAATCGCTTCTCTTCCTGAAGGACGCTGTTAATCAGAACGAGCACTCCTCGTTACGACAATAGATCGTATACCGCGTCGGATTTGTCCGATCAACTCTATAATCGGCTGACAACTCCATGTGAAACTGTTTGATTACTCGGACACAATCTTCTTTGGTACGAAACTCGTCACCCTCTTTTAGTTGCCCTTCTGTTGTGTAGTTGGGGTTGTAGAAAATATCTGTCGAGGGTTCATCGTCACCTAAGTCGAGAGTTGTCATGTGTTGAGGTGGACAATAAACATTTCCGGGTGGAACCCCGTCCTCCTGGTTGTTCACCATCATCAACAATGACTTCAGTTGCTTCTTCTTCTTCGTCAACAACATTGACTTCAGCGTGTTCATCGTCAGAATCGCAAAAAACTTGAGAAGAATCAAGTTGTTGAGACAGTGGTTGTTGTTGTAACGTAACATATAACACGATATCTGAGAAACCAGAATACTCGTGACTCCGGAACATGTTACGCAAGTCTTCATCGTCTCGCACCTTTAACGGGAAAAATTTACATTCAACATGGCCGCCAAAAAACACTGGGTTTTTGTATATTATTTTCCCAACTAGACCACATTGTAGTTTTTTTCTATTCTTGACTTCAGGTGTAAAAAATTAGACCTTCTGTCAATTAAAAATCTTGTAACTTCGGTGTTTCTGAAATTGTAACCAGATATTTCACATTAGAAAACTTCACTGCTAAGATGTGCTGAAATCATATATTGTGGTGTTTGAGACATAGCAAAAATTGTGTTTGAGTATTTGAGTGTTTGAGTGTTTGAGTGTTAGAGTTTAAAGAGTTTAAAGACTTTATTAAATAGTCTGAGTGTTTGATTGTTTAAAGAGTTTAAATATTTTTTACATGTATCTCAATTAAATATACGTGCAGCATGCTTGATAAATGATTACATGCATCAGGACGCTATTTCCAGTTCCCTATGGAAATAAAAAGTGACCGAACAAAATCATAATATAGAACTGTGTTTTGACTATTATGTCATATTCGGTGCTATCATCAATTAAGACAATATTGTTGTATTGTTCTCTTAGGTATTTTAAATTAATTCCCTGACCCCTCGGACGGCCTTCACTTTCCGCCCGAGGTGCGTCCACACAAAGAGGGGCGCCCAATAAATCTTCGCAAAGTCAGTCAGGGACACCAACTTTGCTGTTGACGGTCTTACCATCGATGTGTAGGTCGAGCAACATGTATACGTCTTGGAGAGTTACAGTACACTCACCAAAAGGAAGGTGAAATGTATGTGTTTCCGGTCTCCAGCGTTCTAACAACGCTAGAATAAACTTCATATCGAGAGAGTATGATTTGATTTTGATCACATCACCAAACTCACAATTACGAAGGTACCCCGCTATGGGCGGGTCGTGTGGTATGTAATCATGCACACGACATCGAAACCTTATACATCCTGCAAAATAATTAATGTTACATTAGACAAGAAGTAAAATGATTAACGTTTTACTAGACAAGATTGTAAACATAGATAAGAACTAAAAACTTACAAACTTATATGCATTTAGATGCTAACTTATATGTGTTTATTTTTTTTAGGTGGTATGTTCCAGGGATGAATTATCAGAGATGTCTCAGGCACTCTATCATTCAATAACGCAACCTCATCGACCACCTTGGGCAAGATGATGTAAGTTATTTACCTTTAATTTTTATAATGTATATGCATAAACTTGTATATCACTGTCTAACTTATTTGTCCATCTTTATTGTAGTTTGTCTGGATGCCGTACGAGGGTCTCGACCACCAGCCCAACCCCGATGATGCTGCTGTGTGGACATCAAGAACACCCATAATTAGGTTCACTACGGTGGAGATGCACCAAAGTGACCGGGTGAAGCTACAATTTGGGATGCATCAGGATATTCCAGATGCTCCGGTAGAGTTGGGGTAGTGGCATCAAAAGCGGGTGGACTCACATTGGAGTGTCAGTGATTGGAAGGAGTTTGTGAAGGAGTTGCGTAAACACTAGAATAGAAGAAGACAACATGTCTTAACCGACTGTATTGTGCATGGGGCTAGGCCAAGTCTTCAATATATGACTTGGTTTAGGTCTGTCACGACATCTCAGCCTTTCCTGTCCCAGCCAACCTATTTGGTCGACCCAAGGAAATGCGCTTCTTCGTCAAACACACAACAACAGTCCAGTGCCCAAAATTAGCCTTACGAAAACTCATACATGCCAACAAATACCCCCTATCAACAACAACATTCTTACATGTCACCCACCCAGTCCCAGCCTCAACCACCATACCATTATAGCTCTGATACGTCTTTCGAGCCTACCCCCTCCACCTATAGCCCAGACAACTCATTTGACCCTACCCCCTCTAACTACCCCTCCAACTATCCACTATTTGACTACCACACCCCACAACAACCAACAC